CTGAGTTGATAGTTCCTTGAATTGTTGCGATAGTTGTGTAGCTTTTAATCTGTTTCTTGTATTCTGTTTTTGTCTTGTTCGTTTTTTGTATCTTTCCCTTCCCCACTTGTTTGTTGGCCGCCCTGAGTCCCTCGGGAATAGGGCGGCATACAAGTATAATAAACATACAAACATACATACATAAGTCCCTCAGAGACAGTAACCTGAGTTCTCATAACCTGAGAACTCTCAAGGACCAAAAGCAACTGAAGTCTGGGAAGGTTTTTTGTGCCTGCTGCTGATATACATCGCTCCACTCCAATACTTAATAGGATACTCAAATACTCCAATACGTAAAACTGTTTTGGTATTCTTATCCTATTAAGAAGCAATGAAAACCAAACTACTTGACCTTTATTACCATTAGCTACATCCCTGCTAGTAACAAAAATGTAAAAGTTTGCTTGAAATCAGTTTATCTCCCATACAAGTTGCAAGTTAATCATTTGTGGCTACAGACTCTCATGTAAGAAGGAATAAATATTAATATTATGGATTTTTTCATAATGACGATGGAACCACCCAGGCATTAGCAGAAATATTGCCTGGAAACCGCTAAATTAAAAGTGCAAAGGCTGAACACTCTGATTGACTTATTGTGGACATACTGTGTTTCTCCAAAAATAAGTCAGGGTTTTATTTTCTTTTGCCCCCGCCCCTTTTGAAATAAGTGCTTGGTTTTATTTTCAGGGAGGTCTTATTATTTTCGAGGTGCAGGAGGCAGCGAGCATGGTCACCTCATGGCTGCTGTTGGGTTGCAATATTTTCCGGGGAGGGCTTATTTTAGTGCATGCACTCAAAAGCCCGATTGGGCTTATTACCCAGAGAGGTCTTATTTTTGGGAAAACAGATGTAGAAAGATGCAAAATAAGCCTGATTTCACTTTAAAACAGAATGTTGTAGATTTAGTAGCAAAAGCTGTAGTTAATCATATCAGTTTTATGGAATGTCTGGTTCAGAATGGAAGGCCATTTGATTGCAGAGAAGTGCTGATAAGACACTTTATCTATATTTGTTTGAGGGTCCTTGACACTCTCTGAGGTTGGTTGTTTTCTTGCAGATATTTCATTATCCAAACTATATAATCCAAATTATACCTAAACTTTCATTATGCAAATTATATAACAAAATGTACATAGGGCAGCTGCTAGTCCAGGAGAACATGAAAGCAAAATCATCTTAATCAAAGGAAGGATATGCATAAGTAGCTAAACAAGTGTAAAGGCTCAGTTTAGGGTTCAAAATTTGAAAGGCATTGCATAGGGCCATTAGCTCTTGAAATCCTTTTTAAAAGTTATCTTATTGTAACAGCCTATCATAAGTATAATTGAATGTATGTGAGAAACATGTTTTAATCTGCAAAGTGCATTTTGTGCAATCGATTACTGTGTATTGCAATGATGTATATTGGGCTTATACATTGATAAGTAACACCATAATGATCAGTATCTCCTGATCGGAAATGCACTAAATCTAGTCCCACTTTAGCCATGAAAGCCAGCTGGGTGACCTTGGGCCAGTCATGCTCAGCGCCCACTCACCTCAGAGTTGTGGAGCGAGTAGAAGGAAGCTGCGTGGGCTACAATAACAAATGCCTTGAGTCATTTGTAAAAATAAGGGTGGGATACAAATTGATTAGTTAAATAATCATTTCGCTACCTCTAAGGCGTAAATTCCTAATCCACTTCTCCTTGGTGTGATAAAAAGATCATAAAAACAATTGACCCAGGCTTCTATTTATTCTATTGCAGAAATAATTCTGGAAGGATCCATGATAATGACTAGGCTTCATTTTATGTGGTGACCTTTATAACTTTCCCTCATTTTCGGAAACTTCAAACGAGCAGGAAAACAGATGATAAAATGTCCTTTCCCAGCTCTCGTATCTTGTTTCCTGGGGCAACGGAGCGGAGCACCTGAGAAAACGCTGGGATTGGCAGAAGGACCGGTGTGATTTCAGTTTCGTTTCTTCCTCTTTCAAATTTAGCTTTCAAGAGGAGGAGCTCGGGGTCGGCACTTACTTCACCAGGCGAGAGGAAGCGGGGACAATATTGCAGGCATCACCGCCGCTGCTTAGGAGCAAGCGAGGGAAAGCGAAGCAGCTCCCGCGAAACGGATCGCCATGCCCAAAATTACCTTTACCGAGGCGAGGGAGATTGGAGAGCAGTTTTTACAGTTCCTGGCGGAATCTGGCAACCAGAAATTGAGCAGCAAGATTGCCTTGAAGGCGCTGTACAACCAGGAGTTCCGATATCGGTAGGTGGTTAAACGCTTGAAAAAACGGGTCTGCAGAGCACTGTAATGTGGCCACTAGCTTTTTCGTAGGAGTGGGTCCCGTTTTCCCCTAGAAGGGGAGTTTAAACCGATTTCTCTTAAACTGCTCCAAGGCATGAACTTCCCGGAGCGCCGACTCCCCTTTTTCGGCGCCGCTTAATTCCGGCGCTGCATCAGGTGGGCGCTCGGCACGAAATGAGTCGAGGAGGGGCGGAAGTCCACGATTGCTATAGATACGGTAGGTTGTTTAAAGCGAATAAGTTGGATTTCGAAGTTTCCATTGGAACTAGCCATTGGATAAGCCACTTTGAGTAGCCTTGGCTAGTATATCTCTCCTTCTGGGTGACTTCTGCTTACAGCCATTTTGTCTTGCCTTTTTAGTTTCTTTTTAAACAGTCCAAGGCCAAGAAGTGTCATTTATTCTCGTCCTTACAAAAGGACAAGTATAGGATTCTATGCACAGTAGATTATTAAATTTGGACAATTCACTTAGATAAAACTTATTCCCAAAGAATTGGACCTATGATGTGTCTCTTCTGGTTCTGTATGTTATGCGGTTGAGTGGCGACCATCTGCCTATTTCCATCTTTGTAACATTTTAGTGAATAAACCATATGTAATTTTCATATCTTAAGTAACTTTCATGAGCAGGCTCTGTGGATGCCTTCGTGCTCTTTCAACATCTTTGTATGATGGGGCCCCTAATTAAAAGACAGCTTTCAATCTTATTTATTTTCCCATTCCAATTTCAACTGTAAGAAAAGAAATCCATGCACCTTCATCAAACCAGTTCAAAGATATCCCTCCACAAAGAGTAAAGCAGAGTAAATGGCAATCAAACAATCTGATTTGTAAAATATTTTTTCAAGAGCAATTATTTGAACACACTTGAAAAAGCTGTTTCTCTGCTCCTTCTGGAAAGTAGAGGGGTTGTTTTTTGTTGAGAACCAGTAACATGAAGAGATTCTGCCACCTATACTGTTGTTCTCAGGCTAGTCCAACTGTCAGCTTATCTCATCTGCATAACTTGGATTTCTGCCTGGCTTTGCAACTTGCTGTGCATTTTCGCCCAAAGTTTTCAGTACTGGTAGAGAGGTGAAAACCTTTCAACTAGATTTATTAACCCAAACTGGCCTCAAATGTTCCTCTACTATACTATTGCAGCATTAAGTCATAAAGACTTTTTTTTAAAGAACAAGATAAAAATAAGATTCCTGGAATGTCAGAAGTCTCACTAATTTTTCTTGAAGGATACAAGGTCCAAAATCCTGGTGATTAGATTGATTGGGCAATTTGGAGAAGCTAGCCTAGGTCCTTGTTTGCATAGTTACATTGAGTTACATTGTTAGGCAAAATCAGCATTTGAAGAAGACAGCAGAGCTGAAGATCCTTATTCAGGAAGTTAAAAGTTGAAATCTTCAGCTGATGAAGCATTGAGAATTGGAGGAGGGGGTTAGGTTGCAATTTCCTTGTATGGCCCACCTGGTGTGGCTTCTGTTCTTTGGCTTAGATAAGTTTGTAGAGGGCTTGGTCTGGGATATGGAGGATGATATAATTTGGGCCTGAAGAAATTAAACAAAATTTGAAACAGGGTTTGATCTTAGTCACATCCAAACAAATGGAAAAGGGAGGAGAAAGTGTCTCCATTTTGCTGATTTATTCCACTAATGAAGTAGGAACGTATTTGCTGTAGTAGTTAAGGTACTGATCAGAAATCAGAAGACTTAAGTTGTAGGCTTCCTGTAGGCTGCTTGTGATTGCATTGCTGAGGTAAAATCCCCCATTCAGTGGTATGCTTTTAATGTTTTGTATCTTGGTCAGGCCTTCAATTTTTCAATAACAAACTATTTCCAAAACTCACCAGAAAAACTACTGGTTCTAGTCCAAGCAGTCACAAGTCAAGACTCATTGAAGGCATGTGTGCCCAGGCACAAACATAGAGAGGCAAGTCCCAAATCTCTCCCAAGATTTATATTTGTTACTTTTTTTTTTTATACTTTTCGCCTAAATGGTCTAGGGCTGGGATTTCAAAACATTTTTCATCTTTATTTGGACTTAGACTGTATTTTTTCCAGCTATGCAACACATGCACTCTGATCTACTACTGACTGTGTGTATCAAGTTCCTTAACTGCAAACCATAATCAAGGAAGCAAGATTCATATGACTTTTCATTATCGAAATTTAAAGTCAGGAATTAGTGATTGATTGGTATATACATTATATTGCCAAAAGTAATTGCTCACCTGCCTTTACTCGCATATGAACTTACTGTAAGTGACATCCCATTCCTAATCCATAGGGTTCAATATGACGTCGGTCCACCCTTTGCAGCTATAGCAGCTTCAACTCTTCTGGGAAGGCTGTCCACAAGGTTCAGGAGTGTGTTTATGGGAATTTTTGATCATTCTTCCAGAAGCGCATGTGTGAGGTCACACACTGATGTTGGACAAGTTTACGTGGCCTACCACTTCATGGCTGAGTTGCTGTCATTCCCAAACACTTCCACTTTCTTATAATACAACTGACAGTTGACTGTGGAATATTTAGGAGCGAGGAAATTTCATGACTGGATTTGTTGCACAGGTGGCATCCTATCACAGTTCCACACCAAAATTCACTGAGCTCCTGAGAGCAACCCATTCTTTCACAAATGTTTGTAAAAACAGTCTGCATGCCTAGGTACTTGATTTTATACATCTGTGGCCATGGAAGTGATTGGAACACCTGATTCTGATTATTTGGATGGGTGAGCAAATACTTTTGGCAATATCGTGTATTTGGCAAAAAATTAGAATTATCTTTCAGTTATATTTATGTTATGTATCTTAAGTGTTGTGAACTCTTTAGGTTAAGAAATGATTTCTGATCTTCCTCTCAGCAGTAAAGGAGATTGAGGAGTACACAGAGCACCATTAGTATGATAACTGATTTGTTTTACTATGTGTGTAATCAATATATTTGTTTAGTAGTTGAATAAAAGTTATATTCTATTGTCTTACAGAGATAATATAAAAAGACCCAACTTCTCCAGTGTGCTGTATGTGCTGGTGAAGTCAAACCGTGCTTTTAGCCGTGGGGATTATGTGCAATTTCGTCAGGTAAGAAGGGGCACTTGACTTTCTACTTCATTCTTTGATAGTTGATGTTGAATAATTTGGCTTATTGGGTCCTTATGGACTCCAAGTCATTAAAATAAGGCTCTGTAGATGTAAGGCAATCATAGAAAGAAACAAAACTGGCTTGTTGATTTGTAGCCTTTTTGTGACTTATTTATATCGGTGACTAATACAAATTTAACTGGTCATTATAGCTAGTACTCAAGTTACAACCATGCCTTCATGACTGTTCAAACTTGCGACAGCAGTGAATGAAAGGGACCATCCTTGTAATTCTTGCTGTTGTAGCATCCCCATGGCTACATTATTGTGATCCAGATGCTAAGCTTAAGATTACAACAACACAGGGACCCATGGTCATGTGATCACAATTTCTGATATTCCCTAACAGCTTCCCATAAACAAAATCATTGGCTAAACTCACAGGAAATCAGAAGTTACAGTCACTTGCAGTCCTCATTTAACAACTTGCATGATCCTCACTTAACAATGCCAATCATAACTATTGTCACTAAGCAACACACTCATGTGACAGTATACTTTATGACCACATCACTTACAATTCCAATCCCAAATGTCATCATAATGTGAGGAATACCTGTAGTATTCGTCTCAGTACTACTGATATAGGATTCTGAGGTGTCAAAAAAAGTGCTAGGATCAAGGGATAAGTAAGATTCATGTGGTGGGATTCATCCTGGACAAAATAGGAAGAAAGAATAATATAGGACTTTATAGTTTCATGGCGTAGAGTCCGAACTAACCCTGTTTCCACAGTTTTTGAATTGATTTATTTGTTTTTAAACAAGAGAACATAGCAAAACTTTTTAAATTCTTGTCTGATTTAGAATCAGATTTGCCTGAAAATATTTTCAGGTGGTGAAATTCACTTTGTAAATTTCCCTTTGAATTTTGACAGGTGTTATTTGTTTTAAGGTAAGTGGTGAATAAAGGTGAACTGCTTTCTGTGCAATTTTTTCCAATATTTTACCATTTGTTCAAAGCCTTCTTTCTACGGTATTTCTTTTTCTGCTTCTCTGTAGGGGAAGAAGAAGCTAAAACTTATTGATCAATATTGGAAACCAAACACTGATACTGGAGCTGAAGACCATTCTACCCCAGATGACAACACATTCAATAATCCACTTCCTCCCGGAGCACGTGTTAAGCGCAGGTATGTAATGCAAAGTTGGATGGTGTAATTGTATGGGAGCAAAGCTTGAGGGGACTTAATTTTCCATGTATTCTCAGAATGTTTGATCCTATGTTGTAAATGAAAAGTTTGAGCCTTGGTGTTATTTTCAAAAATTGTGAATTCTAAGCTTCATTTAAGAAAAAAATGTTCCAACTCTTGAAAATGCAAGAAAAACAACAACAAACAACTCTTGTTAAATAGAGAACCAGATTTGGCTTGGCACAAACAAATATTCTTAGATAGATTCTTATGTTGAAATGACAAAATAAGAGACAGGTCTCACACTCATGAAGTCCTTTTAAAATCATAATGAAAACCACAAGCTTGCAGCTGAGATGTGTCTTGTCACAGGATGTGTGAACAAGTATTTTTGTAATTTCTTTCCTTATCTACAATGAGCTATGTTTCCTGCTTATGTAACCAAGTGAAACTAACAAACCTACTGTATATACGCTTGAATATGCATTCAGTGTTCTTCCATCCTTATGGGAGGACCCACTTTTATCCAGACCTGAAGAAACAAATCCATTTTCTCTTTCTAAGTCACATATTTATATGTTGCCTTAAATTATAGCTTTCCCCATCTCCTATTCTTAATTTGCTATATAACAGCTCCTATCACCGTCATCTTGCCAATACCATGCACCTTGAAAGTTAGGTTTTTACTTTTTAAAAAATAAATCCTGAAATTTAATTTTTTTAATATTCCTATTTTCTGTTCTATAGTTGCTATTTTAGTAGTATTCATATCTTTAAACAATCCTGAATGTGTGCATGTGGTATAAGAAATGGTGGGAAGTCTGATTTCTCAGTTTCTTTATTCTTTATTACAGATCAAAATTTGTGTCTGATAAGAATGACGTGAAAATTATTTCAAAGTATGATGAGCCAAATGGTAAAATCCGATTCAACATTTCTCCGGAGCAGAGTTTGACTATTAAAATTGAGGTTAAGAACTATGGAACAAATGAAATTATCCTGGAAAGGTATAGACTGATGAAACGTTGTGAATTCACTTTTTTAGTTTCTGAAGAACCTTTGCCTGTGAAACTGCCATCAGGTAATATATGTATACATTGGTTGAAACATTGCTCCCTTAAAAGAGTTGGTGTGGGTCACATATTGTAAAACCATTACAGAACAATTAAAAATGCCAAAAAAATGATTTATTTTCTGTCATGAGCCTTTAAAAACTAACTCAAAATGCTTAGGAATACAACTGAAAGATGCTCAGATTTATTCCTTGACAATCATCCAAGAGTAAGGCCTACCATTAATGCAGACCTAACCAATTTCTATATTTCTTTCTCCAAATAATTTCCCATTAAAATTAACAAATTTGGTGAAAAATAAATAGCCTCTCCCCCCAAAATACACAAGTGTTTCTTAACTAGACATTTATACTGATGTTGCGACATAAAGAAAATGTGGAATGCGTGCACTTGAATGAGTCCTAAACTGAAGTAGTGTAGTATGAGACATTCATCTTAAGAAGACTGAGGGTGGATTTAAATGCATTTATCATTAATGTTTTTTTTCCAGAGGAAAGTCCCAGTTAATGGTAATCTAAATTGTTTTCAAGTATTGGCTATAGATGGTATGTAAATGTGGAATCATTTTCTCTAACCTACATGCGTACATTTGAAACTGTGGCTCACTTTCAACAGTATATCAGATTTGGGGGCCATTGACTAAAAATGAAATTATACAAAAATACTTGGTCCTTCTGGAAGGAAATGCTCTTTTACCTGGATGGAGAATAGTAAATAAATTCTCATATCTTAACTTAATCTGAACCACACTACCCAGCAATATGTCTACTATTGTGTGTTGCACTTGCATTAACTGTTCTATAATTCATGAACCATCAGAAAGAAACCCATGAGGACCAGAGAACTAATGCAGAAGTTCCTGTAAGAAATTGTGAGACTGTTCATTTCTTGTCTGCACAATTACTACAGTAACCAGGAGTATTTATGACTGTTAATTATGTCAATAAGCATCAGTCAAAACTCCATTAATAATATCTGTTGAAAGTAATGGGTGATGGAATAAGATACCTGCTAATAGCTGTGTAGTATAACTGAATAATGTCATTATAGATTTCTAAATAACAGCATATAAGATTTATCAAAGTTTCTACAGGTCAAGGTGCATAAGAATTAAGCAGTTATTTTCCAATTTGTTGATGTTTTTGAAGTACAGTTGGAAACTGGCATGTGCTTAATTTCTTATTTCCACTGAAATGAAAAGCTTTTTTGTTCTGGGATATAATGTAAGTATGGGAACATGCAATACTAGAAAGAAGCATCTTTATCTTTAAACTAGTTAACTAAATAAATATAAAAAGATTTGTTGCAAATTTTAGAGAATGTGCATTATATATTCTGGAAATTCCATATTCTTAATTTCAAATGTAGTATTAGAACATTAATGCAGAAGAGAGCCTTCTTCCTTGCTGTTTTGTAAATGTAAAGAGGTTTCCTTGTCTTTAGGGTCCATCTATGTAATCCCAATAACGTGTGCGGTACCGGACTATGGCTTCTTCCATGTTACCATGCAGTTTGATTTCACCAGTGAACAGACTGGGAATTTCCACATTGGACGTTTTGTGCAGGCTGTTGCCAATACCGAGTTAGCAAAACAACTTGGTCCCTCAGAACCTTATCAGCCTTATCAAGCCAAACTGCACAAACCACAGTTCAGATCTATAGAAGATGGCGTTCCACCAGACAAGTATGTGAGGATCCTCTGCTAATTTTCTCCCTTTACTATTCTTCTGCTTTTCCTAAAGATATTGTCTCAGTATCATATTTTTCCTCCAACTCCTTTTTCTAAATTCTGTCCTTGGCCCACTGCCTTTCCCCCCCTATTGCGTATATCCATGTTTTGCTCATCTATTTTGCAATCCTTTGTTTGGAGATTTTTTTTCTTCTTCTGTGTTTTCATTTCATTTCAGTTGATGCAGTTGGCTACATGGACTAGCAATAGCACTTAGACTCATATATCGACTCATTGTGCTTCACAACTCTCTGAGCAGTTTATGGTGTCAGCATATTACCCCCAACAATCTGGGTCCTCATTTTACTGACCTCAGAAGAATAGAATGCTGACTCAGCATGAGCCCCTACAGGATTGAACCCCTGGCAGTGGGCAGAGTTAACCTACGATACTGCATCTATCCACTGCGCCACCACGACTTCATTAGGCATACCAAGACTAGCCATACCATTTTAGTTCTCTAGATCATTTAGCACTTTATAATAACTTTGAGGAAAAAGACTGGACCCAAAAGATCACTCATAAAGATTGGAGCTAGATGGGATGCAGCCCAAACTATTAATTACTGTTTGTTATATTTATGGAACCTTGAGAATTTTATTTTTTTCATTTTCATTCTCCGAAGCCTTACTTGAAATTGTTTTTTGATATTCCATCTTTACAGGAACTGGCTAAAGACAGCTAGTATGCACCAACATAAGAGCAGGAAAATATGCTGCAATGTATGAAAAAATACCAAATTATTTTTTCCCCAAAAGTTATGTGTTGATTGCTTTTTTAGTCATATCTTGCAGACAAAATGAATTGCATGCAATGTAAACTATTTAATTGTACTAATTTATGTAATTAATCAAAATTACATAAATTAAAATAACATGCTTACAATTATAATACTTTCTTTACACTTAGAGAGACAAAACCTTTCCCATATTTGTATTATGGTAATTCTTATATGTAAATCATTGCATTTGCAAATTGATATTAGCTATTGATGCAACTAATATCTGAAATGGTGATTTAACTATTTCTCACAATTTCCTTCTATTATATTTTGGTAATCTGGGTTGGCCTTTATTGAATTTTTAGGTAAGGATAACAATGTTTGAAGAGGAAACCAATTTTAACTTTTAAATGTTTTATCTCCAATGCCCCAAAACACGGGGGAATGGCAAACATCGGTAGAGGGCACAAAGATTTTCCCCCTATTTGGTGGAGGTGGGTTAAAGATGAAAAAAGGATAAAATATCTGTGTGTTTTTTCATATTTTGTCATCAAGATTTAGTGACATACTTTAGGACATGGTGTAAAAATTGAAAATTGTTTTTCTTGTTATGAACATCTCTGATTTACATGCAACTTTGTTTTGCGTTTTCAGCAATTTGTCCATTGAATTGCAGCAGAAACGTTTAGATGTGTACAAATACCCAAGCGATCTGAAGGATTTGATTGAATGCTTGAATGAAGGCCATACTCCTAATGATGGCACCAGTGACAAGATTGCTCATCTCAAGTAAGTTTCTCCTAAGCAAGAAATTGTCATTCTCTTCTTTGTCCTAAGGAAAAGAGATGTATCCATCATGTTACTACAGCATATTGATGCAATAATCAAAGTATGTAATTATAACTAGCAAATCCTAGAAAAAAACCCTGCTTGACTCATGGTGAGTTTAGCCCAGTTGCTATCATTCTGACCTTGTTTTTCACAGGATTGTTCATGTTTTGATAATACAATAAGGGAAAATGTTTATATTGTTGACTTGAGCTCCCAGAGGAAATATGGGCTATATAAAAAAGCATTTTTGTCTTCCTGATTAATGACCCCCCCAAGATTCATTATGATATACCATTCTCCCACCCTCCCCCCGGCCTATTTTGGCTGCAGATAATAGTATTTGTAAGAAAAGGCTAGTGTCGGAATTAATGTGTGACTTCATAAACATTTGTTCTTAAATATCATTATTTCTTACAATTCCTGGTTTAGACCAGCCTAGAGATAGCTAATATGGCACTCGTGAATAACAATGTGGCGTGATGATGAAACTAAAACAATTTAAGAGAAAAAATCTTTGTAGACTTTTGAAAGGAAAAAGTTATTGCTAGGCCTGAATATTGGGCTGAAACAGACAAAGTAAAATTTACCACAGAGAAATTTAAATTTCTGCTTCTGGTGATTTAAAAAAAAAGAGTGGGAGCAGTCTGGCTTTATAATAGTAGGTGTGAAATGAATATGGGTGTGTAGTCTGTGACAAGTTAAATGTAGCCCATCAGTGTGATGCAGCTGTTAAATGCGGAAGGTCTTCAAATAGAGACTGGATAATCACCAGGCTTGAAATGCTTTAGCAGAAAGGAGGGGTTTGGACTACATTATCTCTGAAGTCCCTTCCATCTCTTATGGAAATGAAAAAGTCTGCATGCTGCAAATCAAGATATTTCTAGAAAGTAAAAATGGGAAGAGCTGCAAATGATGCTGTGCTTGGCAACGGGTCCTTCAGATTTTTTAAAAAAATGAAAATAAGCTGGGATGCGAGGGGGAAGGTAGAGTGGGGAGGAGCAAACAGATCCATTCAACCTTTGGGTACGTTAATCACAGCAGCTATTTTGTGGATAAGGATGCCTCCCTTCTTTTCCTGGGAAACAAAGCACAGCAATATGTAGAATTTTGGAAACAAATCAAACAATTTCATCGCCATTTTCTAATTTCACTAGAAGTATTTTAAACTCACAATGCTCCTGTTTTGAATTCTGTTTCAAATTCAAAGCACTTCCAGTAAGGTCAGAACAGCGGCTGTTCTGAATTCCGATTGGGTTCACAGTTCAATCTCAGGATGTTTTGCAGAGTTTGAACAGCCATGTGATGAAGCACCTATAGCCATGATGGTGAACCTATGACACATGTGCCACAGGTGGCACGTGGAACCATTTCTGAGGGTACAGGAGGCGTTGCCCTGTCAGCTCTAGCACGCATGCGTGCACTGGCAAGCTGATTTTCGACCTTGAGTTTCAGCCATTTTTTGCCTTCTGGAGCGGGCGAGGGAAGCCTCTTGAAGCCTCCGGAGGGCGAAAAATGGCCCAATGCACCTCCCGGAAGTTTGGAGACTTCAGCTTGCTTTTAAATTCCAAACGTCGGTCAGGAATATTGCTTATCCAAAATAAAAATAAAAAAACCCTGTATATTTGTATCCTATGTTGTACAATGGATATTCATCACTTCATTTTGATTTTATTGTTAATATTTATATACACCTCTGGGTGTTTTAGATATTTCAAAAGTTGAGATGTTTCGAAGGATCAGCATTGCTCAACAAGAGATTTTTTAAAACTTAGAAACTAGTAGCTAAGCAACCTCAGAGATGGTTGTGTAGTTGTGTTCATACTTGACCCTTTTTGATAGTCCTTTTATCATCTCTTAGAATACCAAGAAGCTGTTGGGTAGCGTGATTCCACTTTTGTTACTGCCCAGTTTGTGTCACCTTTTATTCTTTTTCATTGTGTTTTTTGATGTTTTACTTGCCAACGGCCTAGAAATATTGGGAGTCATGTGATGCACAAAATTAATAAATAAATAAATCTAAAACAAGATAATATATTGTACCTTGGCCAATATTAACAAATCACATTAAGCTGGAGTAGCTACCAACTCTTTTTAAACATCAGCATTGGTTTGTCTTGGCCTCATACCAGGTTTTTTTTTACCTTTCTTCAAATATTAGGAAGTTCAGATCTCTGTCTTCATGGAAAAGAAGAATACATGTGCTGGAAAGAGTAGCAATGTAACCAGGGTCATCCAAATAAAGTAGGGGATATCTTAAAGCAGGAATATGTTGTGGTTTTGTCTCTTCCTTCCTACCAAATATTATAATAAACTCTCTCATCTCTGATGGAAAGATTAAATTTGATAGAATACTAAACCATATACTTCCAAACAGGAGCAGTCTGGAAGCCCCCTTGCAATTTGACAATTATTCTGAGAAGTTTTGTCTGCTTCTTCACTTGGAAGAGATCCAAATGGAGGTGGACATCCATCGATATGATATGCAAAATGTTAGCATGTTTAGAGACAAATACAATAAGAAACTCCTGGTTCTGAAGGTGAGTGACATAGTCTAGACCAGGGGTAGTCAACCTTTTTATACCTACCGCCCACTTTTGTATCTCTGTTAGTAGTAACATTTTCTAA